GCGACTGTAACCACTTTCCGCAAGTACGGCTGCATAAATTCCCGATCGTAAAACGAACGCGTAGCCGTTCCACTAAATTCCCCGTGGAAGTGCCGATTTTCGGCGAACAGAGAGAGAGAGAGAGAGAGGGAGAGTTCTACGGGGGCAATTTTATATCCAACTTTACGCGGCATTAGAAGGTACCCGGCCCGGTCGAAGGTTCATTCTCGCGGCGATTAGGCTGCGCGATAACGTCGAGTCGCTGGAAATTGAGTTAGAATTTCATGAAATCGCCGCCGCGGCAGTTTTGATTATCCTTCGCGTGAGCTCTCCTCCTCCTCGAGAGAAAGATCAAACGTTCCCTCGTGCCTGCTTCCCCGCCGAGGTCCAAGGCTGAAGGACGCGGACTCCGTGCGACTCTCGCGAGAGAGAAAGGCAGAGGATTCAGCTCAGCTCGGTGAATGAGAAGAAACGTTAGGGGTGATTTTGAGCGAAAGGCGAGGGCAGAAAGGAGATCTCCCGTGAAAACCTCCACGAAGAGAGCTGATAGCGCATCCAGCCCAGGGGGGAGAAGGAATCAAGCAAGTCCATTGTTTAACTTGATAAATGAAGTAGCCCCGCGCCGAAGCTCAACGCCGACTCGACTCGGTTAACAATGCCGGGGCGATATATTGTTTCCAGTTAATTCAGTGCTGGAAACACGAGCTCGCGAAACAGGTAGACGCTTGAAACGCGTCAGTCGAGGCCTTTTAGACGCCTTTTAAACGCCTCGAATCGCCATCGACGAGTAACTTTTCTCTTACCTTCGCGCTTACCTACCCGTTGTATCGGCAGTGGAAGTTTGTCGAATGAGAAAGGTAAATTTAGACGGCTACGTCTCGGATCGTAAGAGAAGTCGTTAGAGAAATCGCGAGAGAATCGTGTAACGATTATGGCGTCGACAGCCGGGGTTCGTTAGAGATCGTTGAGCGTTTCGCAGGCAAATTGCGTTGAAAAGTTGGCTATCGCCGTTCGCCAGTCGAGCGTGCTCGTATCAGTGAGACGGAAAGCCACCGGTATCCTTATTTACCGGCACGGTTTCCGAATCGCGATCCCCGGTTTTCAACTCGGATATGTGTATATATATATATATATATATATATATAT